CCTTCAGTGCACGAGTGATATCACGCCTGCGCAAATGTTAACGGAGATTGGCAAAAGTACCTCGAGCCTTTAATGCTCGGTTTAAAAATGTAGCCGCCCAGATGAATTTCTGACCGACTTCTAGCTGGTCAACTCTAAGGGTCATAGCACGTGTTGGCCCCTGCTAATCTTGTAGAAGGACTTTTCATTTTGAGGATGTGAAGCATGGCGCAAAACGATTGTGACAGCCAATGCTAATATGTCCACTGTTGTTTGGCTCCTTTAGGAGCTAACACGGTTGAGGGCAATATCGTCAGCATAATCCAAATCAAGAAATCATTTACTTGTGAGCAGTCACACACCTAGTCCGTCGCGTCTAAGGCACGCCGTTCCCATGACTTCATTAATGGCAAAGTAAAAGAGGAAAGGCTTGATGCGGGCACGTAGAATAGTCCCGCACAATTGCGCCACAAACTTCAGTGCGTGGGCTGTGAGACACGGAGTTCAATTCCTGCTCACAACGCAGCAGGATCCATCCACTCGGAATCGGAGCACAACTGGGCTAAAGTGGACAATGTTCTTTCGTAAACCACCAGCTCTATGTGGTGATACATTTCACCCACAAACAGAAGCATCGTTCCAAATGTGATTCGGCCATTGTGGGTCGTAGAATAGCTCCCATAGGTCCGTTTCGCCTTCTTTTATCTCCTCTCGCGTGTGGTTGAAATTCGCGTGCGTCGTCTGATCGCGTGCGTCGTTTAGTTGGCTGCCGCATGTTACTCTAAGTCTCTCCCGCATCTTGTTCCCCGACCATGTGCGTATCGTTATCCGTTTACTAGGTCTCATCATGTCATCCGAATAAGCACGTGAATAGGAACCGTGCTCACGTTGCGCGTAACCCTCGTCTAAGCTAACGCGACCAGGCCTGCACAAATGCACTAAACGTTTCGAACCATGACAGACGAGTATGCTGATTTGGAACTTATGCTGCTGCAGCAAAATTTGATGTCCGTGCTAATCGAGAAACCTTCCAGTTCTTCCCTTTACGTAGCTCCGGTTGGCAATTTTCAATCAGTGGACCATGTCGTTAGCGGCAGCAATGAATCTCTGTACGACGCCAAAGCTGGAGTCACTTTTAATTCTTGATAGAAGCGGTACGAGGACCTGTTCAACGTTGACCTGGCCTGCCAGGATGACGCGTGAAATGTCTGGCTGCTTCTGCGCAAAAACTCGGTAGGCGCTAACAGCAACGATACAACAATTTCATCTTTCCGAAAAACCAACTCGACGTTACTTTCAACGAGACGATCAGAATCTGGCCCCGGAATTTTGGTGAGCAGCCCTCCCTTTTCAATACCCGTTATCAATGTCTGCAGCTGGACAAGCGTGATGCCGACGACTTCATCTCGTACGCTTGGTTCCCTCACAGAGGACCAATTCAAAAGCTTCATCTTCTCTGATCCACATTCTGCACAGATATGAGTACCTTAGTAGTAATTGTGAGTAGATTGATTCCTCTATGAGTGCTACTTTCCGAACGCGAGCCCCTCCTACAAAAATGAACCACACCAAAGCCGTTCCAGTCTGTTGGGACAGTCTTCTGTTCTTACTGCCTCACAAGTAGTGTGCGCAAATCATCCATGAGAACTGATTCCCCGAATTGGAAAAGGGTTGGGGGAAATCTATCTGCCCCTGCGGTCGTGTTCAATTGCACCAGTCTGATCTCACCTCCGACTTCTGCACGTGAGGGTGGATCCAAGGGAACAGGTTGGGAAGATGAGCAACCTATTTCTGATTGAGAACCTGGTAACTTTGTCTGTTTAAACTGCACCTGAAAGTGTTAGATATAACACTCTAAAAGGTTCTGATAAGCTGTAAATTGTTCTTCTACCATCAGTAACACCAGGTCCCCGTCTGCCCATTTTATGTATCAGATGGAACAACTTGCCATGGTTACCAATGGCGGCGACCGTTTCTATCTCCGACGAACGATGAAAGCACCAGGTTTCCCGGTCACTCTTCAGAATAGCAAACAGTTTTGCCCTGAGATTTTTGCGAATCTCATTGGGTTCGCCCCCAGACAGAATGTGTCGGCTAACATATAAAAGTATAGAAGACTATGTAGAAACTCAATGTCCAGGTTGGCCAGTAGATTTGTCACAGGAAAAAGCTCTACTTCTAATAGCGTCTGGTGGATACGCGACCAGTGATCTTCTACTGCGTTCCTCGGGCGCTTACCCATCCCGCATTCCAGCGTACTTGGTTACACATTCAGAACATATGACTTCGCCAGTTGGCAAGTTTCTATGGAGCTGGGCGCGTCTGTTCACCACTTCGGCTCTTTTTAAGGTGTCAACGTGTGTGCAGCTTTCGTTGATATGAGATCTGGATTCGCTAGCTCATGGTGATTCGCTGCCCAGTACACCATAAGAAGTGGTCTGCTAATCGTTTTCAAACTGGAGCCATTTTGACCCTACTCATCCAGACTTGAAAACTCAATTGCTTTTGGCGGCTGCTGATTTAAAAGTGGCCGTACTGTACTGCAAACATCAGGCATCTAGTTAGTACGGAAAAGCTGCAAGTTCTGAAGCACGGCAATAAAAATCTTGATGCTGTTGTCTTTATATGATTACCAAAGACTTCCTGCTACCATGACGTTCAGGTAGTAGCCTAAAATAATGCCTTACCATCCCAAGCTCGGAGTGCGCAATGGTAATTGACTTTACAGAAGTTTTTGAGAGAAAGTTACACCACTCTCTTTTTTACAGTGGCTGTTTAAGAAGGATTTCCAGTGTGTGGCGGTAACACCAAGTGGGCTATCCTCTCAGCGAGCTTGTTTTTCTTCGCTGATTTGCAGGGTGTGACCACTTGTTGTGGAGTTCTCCGAGCTTCCGCAATAGATAGAAGATGCTTCCGGAACCCGCTCGAGAAACGTTCGGGAACAGTATAGATGACTTTAAAATCATTTTCCGTCACTGCGTGACTGCACTCTAGAAGGTGAGACAAGATGGAACTGTTACTGGACCTGCTTCGCCTTTGTAAAACCACTTTTGGTTGTGTTCGCAAATCCTATGAGATAGGCGCCTCGTGGTACGACCCACGTATCGTGCACCACAGGAACACGAGTAAAGATAAACAAGCATTGATGGAGTCACCGGAAGCAGCCTGTCTTTCGAAGGTTTTGCGAATAAAGGCTTGTTGTAAAATACTATGCGTAGGCGAGCCGCGAAATAGGTCTTTTCAACCGCGTCATTCAGGCCTTTGGACAGGGCATCAACCGCACTGTCGCCTTTGAAAGGAATATGCACAATTAGTTCTTTCTTGGGTACGTTCATCCTCGGTGGTTTTATCTTACGTTCTTTCAAATGTTTGGGGATGAATTTATCTGGATACGCATTCGCTCTTAACGCGTCACCGATCCGCTGCAATTCTTTGGTGATTGTGTCCGGTGTGCGAATTCTATGTGCCCGGTTTCAGGTTTGCCAGTTACTGTGGCTAACCACAGGACGCCTGTGCCTACAGAGGGACCGTGAGTAGTTTGCGCTACACCACCCACAGCTCCAAGTATAAACCCCATATCCAATGTAAACCCGAAGAAATAAGACCGGAAGGCATGTGGACAGGAGCCAGGTTCCATCAACGGAGCCGGTCCACACTCCTTCACAGGCGAAAACAGGCGCGCTGTATTTGGGAATCAATCTCACACAAGGCGGTGGCTGGACTGTAGTCCGCTCCACACTGAGTGCATGATATCACTCTTCGAGCCGAGCACAACCACAAGGACCGTGCACCCTGTGCCCTACAGCAAAGGCCAACTGTCTTCTGGAGCCAGTATGGACGAGGTAGTGGGTAATATACAGGTAGGCACCTTGTCAATATGCACATCCAGCGCAGTCACACCGCGATATCAAACAACAGCCAACCACTTGAAATGCCATTAACAAATAAAATTTATCTGTTAAAGAATACGGCTATGCCGACATGACTCTTCGATAAATTAACGTATGAATTAAGTAAGTTATCAATGTATCCGAGATAAGTACAAAATGTCTCCAATTTACTCAAATAATGCTGCAAACATAATAAAGTTAACGAAGAAAACCACAGTTAGCGTGAGCAAAGTAACCAGTTAATAGAAGATCATTCAGATACGTAGAACAAAGCAAATAAAGTGGAATGAAACGTATCCGGCATAAAAGAGCCAGTTTAACTGTAAGTTGGTTTAGCCCAACTGCAGTGTAGAAGCATTATTAGCCTCAGCATGGGGCATATATATATATATATATATATATATATATATATATATATATATATATATATATATATATATATATATATATATATATATATATATATATATATATATATATTAATAGAGACAAATCTGTCTAAGGTGACCGCTCAAGGGACTGACAAAAGTGATTGCCTTGCACAGGAGCTCGCCGTAGACAGGTTCATGCATGGGGACATAACACACCGGGAAGAGTGCTGGGGATATTTTTGGCTGGTCTCCAGAGACTGGTGGTCACCATAGACTGGTTGTCGTTATGGTAGGATGTACTGTCCCTTAGTCGACACCTGGCATACAATACAAACTGAGGATTTTGATTAGTAACTGATATTTTAACACCAAAATATTATTGTCTAACTATGAGAAAATACGAGCTCTATTAGTGAATTTGTTTCTAATGCAATCAAACCAGCAGCTGAATGGACGTTGTATCATTCTTCTCTTATCGCTTCTTCTTCCGATCATCATCTTGCGTTTGTTTGGCGATGAAAACTTTGTGGTAATGCATCTGAGAAACTTCGGATAACTGAAGGCCTTTTAGCAGCTGTTTGTAAACAGCGTAGCAAGCGTAGAAAGATCAGCTTAAATTTTGGTGAAAAATTATACTGTCTCTATACCTACGGAAACGCACAACTGTTATAAAACTCCATCTTTCACCACACGCTTGTTCCCACCTTTATACTGTATACCATTACGCCTGACTCGCACTAACAAAACATCTAACTTCCAGTTTTTTCTAGGTTGTTTCGCAATTTATGCCGCTCTCATGGTGGAAGACAGACAGAGTGTATGAATCACTATCCTGGCTACGGGAAATCTTGGCGTCACAACACCGGATAGTCACGCTCAGAGAATTGCACAAATGCGACCACACAAAGCACGACGTTTGTTGACCAGATTTCTTCTTCTCCATGTGCACATTCAGTTGTATCACAAAGCTCAAAGCAGCACGATAGAGTATTAGAGCTCTAACAACAAAGATCCTTCAGACATATTGTGTCCTGTGCGTAAAAAAGGATTCCACATTCTCGTTTTTTTCTTCGCTAAACTACCATAGAAGACCAGTGATTGATTCACAGCTTGTAGATAATGAATTTGACCTTTATCCCCTAACCTTTGCCCGTCCATAAATCGCTGCTGGTCGATATCTCAATCTCTCTCACTATTTCGCAGTCCTTGAATCAACCAGCGAATAAGGGGTATCCCACAATTTCTATTTAGAATTACTTTCTCCAACCGTGTAGCCTAATAGTAACGAAATGTTATGTTTGCTTGGCTAATTGAGAGATTGGTCAACTATGCCATAAAAATGTTATAATCGCAGTTACTGGGGCGTTGAGCAGTCAGAACAAAGACTTTCACCCCACCGGACAATGTACTGACCAGATCTCGTCACATGAAACAGGCAAGGCAGCCGACAATATAGATTGTGTGTCGGACAGGCGGCGGCCTGATGCATAGGAACCACAATAGACCAGTGGGTGAGAGTGAAGTTCACGGTCAGGTGTATGGGGCGAACTCGTACTTTTAAGGCGCCGGATCAATTGGCGTAACATCTGTTTTTGAAAACATGTTCTCCAGACTCATACGAATGAAATGCTGGATTCACCTGTAAACCTCGGATTAGTTTAGTTGTCCGCATAGGTCTCCGACTATCTGGCATGGCTCTATGCACGTTTCTGTGGGCTCAATAAGCCCCAGAGCTTTTGCTAGTTTAAACGTGTCCAACAAGTTATCGAACGGCAACTCGAAAGCAGAAGTGGTTGCATGTTCGATCCGTTGTTTGCGCAATTGAATAACGTACCGAACAAAAAACAACGGTCCGAAAGACATCTCCTACAGCACATTGCGTTTCCTTTTTCGTACAACTGCAGACTGCCAGTTTTGGTGGTTCGGCCTTGTATCCAACGTGTACACCGGCTCCCCTTGTAGAAAACTTCTGCTCACGCCTGATGCCAGTGGTCGTTGCCTAATCTTAGGGCGTACTGCATTAATTGGAAGACGTATCTCACGCCCGAATTGGACTTCCGCTGGGGATATGACGTCTGGTACAGGAACAGCTGTATCGTCTCCTCTGTCGGTCCTTCCCCCCGGCAGTTTTAATAGTGAACGTTTGCAGGTATCCATAAATCTTCCTGCTTGCCCGTTGAACTGGGGATGCCCCAGAGGCGACCGGCAATGCATGATACCATTACGCTGACAGAAAGCACCAAAATCATCGGAGATAAATTGCGAACCGTTATCGGAAACCAAGGTGTTTGGTGAACCGAACTGTGCAAATAACTGTGGTAGTTTTCCTACTGTGACCGCTGTCGTGGTTGTGTTCATCAGGTATACGTTCGGCCATTTGGTATATGCAACAACCACAATCAAACATCTCTGGACCACCGAAATCAACGGGAATTCTCTACCAAGGCTTAGAAGCCGGTATCTGGGGTTGGATGATATTTCTTGGGAGTTCCGCTGCTAATGCATAATTAGTACATGCGGCGACACAATCTTGGAAAGCGTTGTCAATAAAAGGCCAATATAAGTAACTTCTGACTACAGTTTTCATCCGTGATATTCCGGGGTGATGTAGATGCAAATATTTTAATACCCTTGCCTGCAGGGACTTCGGAATAACCACGCGCACACCGAACATTACACAATCATCAACCAGTGCTAAAGAGTCACGTCGACAATAAAATTGTTTATGGTGTGTGTCAGTAATCCTACATGACCACTTTGTGTTTACAAAGCGAATAACGTTTGGCAAAAGAGAGTCGAGTTTATTATGCTCCTGAATGTCCACAGAAGTATTCGAGAGAGCTCTGATTAAACTACACAGAAGCTGCTTCACGTCCGATTCAAGCGAAACTGACGAGATCAAATGGTCTTCTTATATGCTCGGTTGTTTTGCGATAAGGCGAGACAGCGCATCGACGTAGCCGAAATCTGCCGTGCGCACATGAGTTATTATAAAATGATATCCAAGCAACCGTGTCGCCCAGTCTTGGAGGCGAGTCGCCGTGTAAAGATATATACCGTTCTTCAAACCGCAAAATCTTAATAATGGTTTATGGTCATTCTCCAAGACAAATTCTCTACCTTGCAACATCCGATGACACCTTTGAAAGTTAAAACTAGTGCCTCTTTCTCTAGCTATGAGTAAGTTTCTTTTAGACTTCCTTGAGGCGTGTGGTGCGTAGACAACATATCTCATGGGGCTAGAGTCTAACCGCTGACGGCGAACTGCTCCAACACCAGAACGAGAGGTATTTGAGGAGATAAAGATATCTGCTTTTGGGTCATAATGTGCCAGCATTAAGTCAGATTTCTTAATGAGCTTAAACGCTTCATCACTTTTGAATGACCAAACCCAGGGTCGATTTTTACCCAGCAAGTCATACATTGACACGCGAACTCGATGCAAATCAGGAACAAATACACTGAAATAACTTACCATGCCCAGAAACGATTGCAGGGTAGGTAAATCGTGTAGTGCAGGTAAATCCCCTATGAGACGTATTTTTTCAATATCAGGTATTCCCCCGTCACAATCAACAATAAAACCAAGGTAGTTCAGTTGAAGCATAAACAAATAACATTCATCAACTCTCAGAGTCAAACGACATTAGTGTAGAAGTAAGAATACCTACAAGGGGTGGCAGCTATGATGTGTTCTGTCTGTTGATGCGACGATACCATCATCCAAGTATGCACAAGCCGATGGTATCTCCGCTAGCATAGTATCCATTCGTTTTTGAAAGAGTCCAGGAGCAGCGTCCGAACCGTAGCCGATTGTACTGATACAGGCCACAAAGAGTGTAAATTGTAAGAAGTCGCCGTGCGTCGTCATCGACTGCCACTTGAAGATTGGCACCCGAGAGAATGATCTTTGAGAACATACGATTGCAATTGAGTTTGGCGAAAAGCTACTCCGGTAGTGGCATCGGGTATTGCTGTAGATTCAGTACTGCGTTCAGACCGGTTGAATAATTTCCACATAGGCGGATGGTTCCGCGTGCTATTTTCACTATCATTATAGACGCTGCCCAGTCGGAATACTCCAATTTGGAAATCTCCCCTGACTGCTCTAAGCGATCCAATTCCACGTGACCAAGTGCAAAGTCATAAGCATACGCCATCGGTTTATCCATGCATATCGACTTAGGGACCAGCAGTTACAACATGCTTCTCAAGAAAACGACCTTGGGGTGATTGTGCAGGACGAATTCGGTTGCTTAAGACAGGCTTAAAAGGCATCAAAAAGTGCTAATCAACATCTCGGACTCTTACGGAGAGATTTCCGCAATTTTGAGCCATCAAATTCTCCGCAAATGCTGAACGCCTATGTGAGGCCTCACGTGGAATATGCGATCCAGGCCTGGCGCAAGCGCGACATCGATGCACTTGAAGCTCCACAACGTAGAGCGACCAAACTCCTTAGAGGATTGTTTCATCTCCCCTACCATCGCAGACTGCAGTCCCTGAGAGCATACAGCGGTGAATCTCGACGTCAGCGAGACTTGATCCCGGTTTACATAATATTGACGAACCCAACTCACCATTTTCGCAATCTGTTGCAGGTGAGCCAAAATACTAACCTGAGAGGTCATCAGCTCAAATTCGCTGCGCACTACAGTCGAATTGATTGTCGACGAAACGTTTTCTCCCTCAGTGTGTCCCGTGACTGGAATGCCCTTCCGACTTACGTTATCCTTGCCCCTACATTAACGCTTTTCAAAAACGCCTTGATGAAACGCTTTCAAACTTGCATTACTTGATGTAGTCCGTTCCACTTGGAGGACGAAATAACGCAAACCTAAGCATGTGCTTAACGGCCCTCTCCGCAACGTGGCGATGAGGATACATGCGGAAGTGTTCATGTGATTAGCCTGGATGTAGCTAAACTGGATTAACATACCACATCTGTCAAATGAAGAAACAAACGAGTGTTTTCTTTTTTTATTTCTGGACTATGACAACTCTCTATACTATTTTGCATATGCACATCCCATTCCCACTTTAGACTACTGTTATGCAGTAGTGCATTTAACTCGGTGGACGCTTGAAATAACGAGTTACTTATTCGATGATCCTATAAATTTTAATTTTACTCCAACCATCCTACGGGACTTGTCAAGCACATGCTTTTTTACCCGTGATAAATCATTGTTCGTTGTTCAATTCATTGTCAACTAACGTACCAGACGCATACGGCGCCGATCTTTTGTGTCGAAAAATAGGCTTTGCGTCATCTTTTAGCTACAGTGATGTCCTGAACTTGGTGTAACAGCCAAGTGTGGGGTTGACCACTTCTGGGATTTGCTTCTCCCTATCGTCAGCGATTGTAGTATTCTGTGCTGCAAAGCACTGTGATGACATGTCCGGACCGGAGAGACTTCCCTCGGTATGATGGCACACAGAGTCAAGGAGAACGCTCCGCTGATTCGGCGCGGTTATCAAATCCATACCAAGTACGTTTAATCCCGGGTTGTCAGAAATGTGACAGACGCCGGTTCGCTTGTCTTTTCTGTAGACATGTTCACAAGAAACTTGACCATATAGCTGTAGGATACTGTTCGATGCACTCCTTGCGGTATGTTCCGCATTGTACAGCATCGGTTTACCGATAGCCGACCATGTCGGGCTGAAGATGGTAAATAAATAAATCTTTTATTCTCATGCATTTTGGGCACGATCAGAATAGTGCAATGTCGTATATAATAGTATAATTACCTGGATCAAGAGCGGGAGCAATACTGATGTAATCAGTAGTGTAGGCCCACATGGTCCAAAGATTGAATGAAGTCTATCCTCTCAGAGTGCGAGATGTATAGATAAGAATTAGAGATCATTTGAGTGTAGTATGCTGGTGAGGAACCGGTCCGATGAGGATGTGTACATAGTGACGGTCAGGTGAGTGAAGCATGAGGAAAAAGTTGCAAAATTATTTTAAGAATAGTGGCATGTCACTGATCAGACATGTAGGCATAGTCGTGTGAGAGCAGATGTATGCACAGAAATTGTGAAATGTGCTATCGGTCTACTTGCCAATGTGTGGTTGGAGCAGTGACTTTATTGAATGGTGAGTCACATCTGCCAAGTCGCAGTGTTGCTAAACAGACATTTGTGGTTCTTCCTAGGGAGACCGCTTACC